GTTTGAAGCCTGGAATAGTTCCTTGCTCCCTGTAGACATTTGTTTTTTAAAATGCTTATACTGTACTATTAACAATTTCATTTTTTTGCACAGGTGTTATACTTCGTGATTCACATGGAGTTGCTCAGGTTCGATACATCACTGGAAATAAAATATTACGTATTTTAAAGAAAAAAGGTATGGTCTTTTGCCAAAATTAATGTACCATACTTTGTTATTTTATACCTATTTTAGTCAGTACTAGAAATGCATACATACAGAAACCCTTCGCCTTTATTTTCCTCAACTTTTTTTAACATGAAGTATTCTACGTTACGCCACCAATGAACGCAGGCTCGCGTCATGTTAGCCATGGCAACACGAATGCACGATCATTTTTTTTGTGCAAAACGGCAAAAAAATGAAGAAAAAAATATTAAGTTTAATGAAGTTTAACTCTTTAATTATCGAACTATCTATTTCTAAAATTATAAGTAGGTATGTTATTTTTCACCCTATAAGCTTGAATTTAAAGTAGTATTTAAAGTGCATATGACATGAAATTTCTTATTTTCTTAAATGAAAGAACTTAAGCTGTAATGTAACTTATTTTTCAGTTTCTTGTTTTTATTGTTTGTTCCCGAGATATTTCAGTTTGTTTGGTATGTAAATGAGTGTGAATATGTCCGCTAATTTATGACGTCATGTTGGTTGCAAGCTCTTCAAAATGGTTGAATATCACTGCTATCATCCAACATGATAATTTCAAACTTCACTCACTGGTAAATGTGATGAAACACTGCAGAAAAACGTAAACAAATATCTACAGTTTTTAGAGTTAATAGATTTATAACCAGTGTAATTTGAGCTTGCAACCAACGTGACGTCATAAATTAGCGGACATATTCACACTCATTTACATATCAAACAAATTGAAATATTTCTGGAATAAACCATAAAAACAAGAAACTGAAGAATAAGTTACACTACAGCTTAGAGAGTCCTTTCATTTATGAAAATAAGAAATTTTATGTCATGATATGCACTTTAACCTTGAACGCTTCACGAAATGATCATTTAACTTTATATTTAATATATATGCTGTTTCGATTGTTTGGCAGTAAACAACGTACATGTACATGTTGAACGACAACAACGTAAAAACTTGCTTTAGATTTCATAATTTCCCATATTATATATCTCTTCTTGTCATTTCTTTAAAGTAAAATTTTAAAAATCGCTTAAGGTGGCTCCCTACAGTTAGTACAGTTTAAATACGATTTATATAGATCAGACTTCATCCTCGCGACCTGCGCGTGGAATCGTGTTTACTGTTCGGCAAAAATATTGAAACAAGCCGTGGGAAGTTTTTTGGCGTTTTTTATCTACAAAGAAAGCCCCAGTTTTTCATTATAATCCTATTTTTTTCTGAATTCGAACAGTACGTATGTTATTAACTAGTTTAACCTATCTTTTAGTGTGTTTTTACGTATTTACGTTCAGTATTGTCTTTCATATTGCTCAAAATTTTCAGCTTGTTGTTTTGCGAGCTGTCAAACTGAAATGACACTGTCTTCTATTAACTCTTGAACAGTAGTGAACTGTTCCCGAAACTTATAGAAGTTCTGTCAATCAATTCAATTTACAGGTATCGTTTTATCTGCTAAATCAAATAAAACAGTTATGAGTTGTTTTATATGAAAAGTTAAACTTGTAGTTCGATGTTTTGAAAAGTTTTCACACCGATTTTAACAACAAAAACAAATGTAAACTAACACTGGATTTAATACAATGCCTATAATAGTGTTTTTTATTAGTATTTTCAAGATTAATATTTTATTTTCATGTCAAACAAGTCAGAAATATCTGATTTCTTATGTATTGTAAGCCAAAAAGTTGAAATCACTATAAATCAACACCGCGGAAAAACGTCTGCGCATGCACCAAATTATGAAAATATGGCGGGGAATTTGAATATCAATTTCTAAAACAAAAACATGCTTATTAATTGGTCAAAAATTAGTAAAACAAACGAGAAAATATAGCAAATGGGTAGACTAGACATTAATTGTGAGCGTCCTGGCATTTAAAGTATGGAATGAAATATAATTCATGTAAAAAATTGTTGATTTTAACGGACACGACTTCGAAAATATTTGCAAAATTATTCAAAACAAAAATTCAAACTCAAAAGTTAAGAAAACTCTCGAAAAGTTAAGCTTCTTAACCCACTCAAATTGTAGAATAAATCCTAAAGTTTAATTATTGTGAATACGAAAATTTTTTATATTTGGCGACACAGTTTTTTTTAAAGAAATGTATCTCAAACGAAAATTCGGAAATTGTCGTTGCTTAGTTGATAAAAAAATGTTTCAGACGATAAATTTGTCAACAATCACCTTTAGTTCATGTTCTTGTACAATACAATTCTTGAACCTTCTGGCTGTATTTATTCCTAGTTTTTAGAATGACATGTTTATTTTCGCGCTCGAAATCTGGCTGTAAAGACGCACAATGAAGTCACTCCTCTTTACCGCCATTTTGAGCCTTCGGAAACGTTCGGAACAGCTTCTCATCAAGTTCGCAATACTATTACAGGTAAGGTTGACGCATGCGCAGACGTTTTTCCGCGGTGTTCTATAAATCACACGCTACAATTTACACACATGCGCAGATCGTGCTCATGTCGAGTCGATTTTTTTTCATGCTGGCCACGCCGATTTTAGCGATGATTTTCTCGTGTTTTCTTCGGTGAAATTTTTTTAAACTTTGTATTTTTGTTATAAAAGACAAGTGGTACAACATATCCAAATTTTAAGAAATTCTACAAATAACTTTTTCTGTAACCGTCATTCACGAATATCTCGAAAAATTATTTATAAATTCCCTTCAAATTTTGATATGTTTTTCCTTTATGGACCATAAATCTTCAAAAAAAATTTCAGAAAAATTCACCGAAGGAAAATATAGATATTGTCAATTTATTGTGAAATTAGACAATAAAAGTGCAAAAGATTACACGTCATGGTTGCCATGGCAACACAAACACTGTTTTAATTTGTTCATAAATGGACAGCACACAGCTTCTGAACTTTCCTGGAAATGATCATATTGCCTTGTCTTAAGTGTATCTAATATAAATTCGGTTCAAAGCGAACGATACTCAAAATACAGTACCTAGAATTTTAGAGAACTGTAGGGAGCCACCTTAATGTTTACAGTTCATTGTATGAAACGACTTTTCCATATATTTTCATTCTTTTTAACTGAAATTTTGGCAGTTGGTTCATTCCACTCCTGGCAGTCCGCCATACTTTGAGATCAGTGAGATGACCATCCACTACCCCACTTTTGAAACCGCTAGCAGCAGCCTTCCTTTTCCCGGTGTAATTAGCCCCTTCTCCCTGGGCTTACTCCCAGAACGGCGCTCTGTTGGCTCGGGGATAAAGGCAAGCAGTTTTACTTGTCAAGGCGAAAATGTTGAGCATGAATGGGTTAAATAGGTTCACAGGTTAACCGTTATATAACCCGTTATTTCTTGAGGGTAAAAACTGCACAGTGCCACAGATTTAAAGAGGGTGTTGGGGTATTGCAACAATGAATACTGATACCAAAAAGATAATGTCGATACATTGATATTTTGCTCGGCTCGTAAAGCATAGTGTTATACTGTTTGTTATTAGCATGACAAAATTACTGGATGCTGATTGGCTGAGAGGAGTACAATTATTTCATTAATTGTACTGCAGACTGCAGTACAATTAATGATTTTCCGAAAACAAACAAAATGGCGGAAATGTATTTTGAACGCAAATGTGAAATGAAATTCCCCTTGGGGGAACTAGATGAAAATACGAACAAAAGCACCAAATTTTGCTTTGACAAAAGAACTAAATGAAAATACTAACAAAAGTACCAAATTTTGGTTGAAAGTCTGGCAAGACTGGGCTTTGGCGAGAGAATATGATGTTGACGGAGAAGTATCCAATTTTGTCATATGCGATGTTGCTCGTACAGTTGAGGATCAATGGTACTCGTGATGTTTGGAAATTTTGCCCCCGCGGCTCGTCCAATTTTGGCAAATACATATATGCTGGCAATATACATATATGCTGGCAATGAAAATAATTTAAACATTGGGATATCTTTTCGATTTTTCCAGAGACTATACCTTCATAATATTAAATAGCGTAAATTTGTTTGCAGGTATGGCCCCTTCATTACCAGAGGATTTGTACCATTTGATCAAGAAAGCCGTATCTGTAAGAAAGCATTTGGAAAGAAATCGCAAGGTTATCTTTGTTAAAATTATCAAGTATCGTTGCAATGTTTCAACACAGTGAAATTCTGAAAATAATGAGCACCGAATGTATTTTGATTTTGGCGAGTTATTTTAGATGATGCTACTCAGAGTTGCTCCAACCTCGGGCAAGCGGAGATTTGTTCGACTGCGGTGGGAATCGGGCGTAGGAAACCAAACGTCCCGGATTCGATTCCCACCGCGATCAATCAAATTCCAGCTTGCCCGGTGTGGGACAACTCGGAGCAGCAGCATCTAAAAAACCGAATATGTTTGTTTTAGGACAAAGATGCTAAATTCCGGCTCATTCTTATCGAAAGTAGAATCCATCGTCTTGCACGATACTACAAGACGAAGAGAGTTCTCGCACCAAATTGGAAATAGTAAGTGATTGCTTATTGCACTGAACTATATTTATAATAATAGCGAATATAATAATAGTAAAATTGGAACAAAAACTGCATGTAGTTCATCTGATAATTTGCCGGTAAACACATGAGCCATCCGCTGGCCTTGCTAACCCTTTTTATGCCTGGGAGAATAATTCATAACATCAAAATGTGCTTGCGAAAATGCATGTTGTTTTTTAGATTTTGTGAGCTAAATAGTGTGTTAAAAAGTCAGGGGCCGTAGGGATTATTTCGGGGATTTTTTAGGGCCCCAAAAACTTAATCGAGTTTTAAAACTTAAAAACTCGGTCTTTTCGTCAAAAGATTCTGTGCAGTAAAATGAAGTTGTTTGAGTTAAATTCTTGACGTGTGCAAATTACTTTCAGTTGAAAACCCAAAAATTAAGAAAAATATGGCTGGAATTCATTTCATAACACAAGAAAAACAACGCATTCGCCGTCTTTAACCAGTTTATAGTGTAACACGTTGCATTTCAACTACCCTGAAGTGGGGCCTTGCGGGGACAGCCGCCCCAGACCCCAGCTGTTCAGCTAAACTCAATCTTCTCTGCAAAGACGGACCCAAGAGAAAATCCTGGAAAAACCCTGGGCCGGTTGTACGAATGAGGGATAGTGATTTTTCACCCTCGGATATGAAGCTTGCAATTAATAAAAAGAAAATTTAATTTATCAGGGTGCGATAATTTAAGATTTTTAGCCGTACCTGCATGACTGGTACACCAATGATTTTTGCCGCGTACTTGCGCTATAGTACTAACTTAATCACGGTATTAAATACCTTGGGCTTGGAAAGGTCATACGGTACCACCAAAAGTAAGTACGGAGGTACACGGAAGTGTTGCTATCTGCGTAGCTAATATAGGCGTTCCTCCGATACGCAAGTGCATTTAACATTACGCGAATTTTCGCGCACTGTTCATAAACACGACAGTTTCATCTGGGTTATTTAAATCAACAGCCAATTTTAGAAAGCTTGAAAAAAATAGATAGCGCTGTTCGACTTTCTTAGAATTGGTTCCAGAATTTTAAAAAGTTCCCACAAAAATTCAAAAGGCGCCTGCCATGCGCTCACGCATTTTATTGTGCACGCGCGCATCCGTCAAGACAAACCACAGTATCTGAGATGTCTACACACGGAACTTGCATGGGTGCATGCATACAGGGCCGCAGAG